GACTTGGAACTACAGGCTTAGCATCTGAAAGGTGCGGAGGGTGACGAAACGCAGGCTCACGTTGTACAGGTCAGGCTGTTTGCAGATCAAACCCCATTTAGAATAGAACACAATACTCTAAGATCGTCTTCAAAGATCATCTGGTCCAACTTCAACTCACTTCAGCATTTACAGATAATATATTAAAAATCCTAATGATCAGCCAAAACCAGAACTTGAGTTGGAACCACTCCAAAACCACTTCGGATATTAGCAGTATCGGGTTATCGTACGAGTATTTGATAGCAGAAACTGCAAACAGGCGAAGCAAAGTCACAATACATGAGCAATGAACTAGCAATGTAAGCCAAGAAGGATGAGATTTCCAATTCAGGTATCCCCAAAAGACGAGCAGCCTCCCTAAGGAAATGTGTTCAGTATTCTCGAGCTGGCAGAACTCACAAAGAGCCGTGGTTCTGCTCCGTCCCCAGCTTTTCTTGAACTTCAGAGCGCGAGGAGCAAGCGGGAACTCAAAGAGGAAGAACCAAGCCCTAAGGTGATGGCCAAAGCCTGTGGGTGAGCTCCCAAATGAGACTGTCCAGAGACAGCAGCAGCCAGGATCAGCACAGCCACGGCCCAACGCCACGCAGGAGGAGATGGACGCGTGCTGGTCTGAGCATTCCTTACCATGAACGCGTTTGATGTCTTCAACGTAAGACAAAGAGGCCTCTAAAACCCAGCAGCTGCAAGCTATAGGTCTGCAAAATGTCTTCTTTATTTACCTTTTAATTAAGATTGAACCGATACCTCACCGAAACTTTCTGCTGAAGCAGAACCAAATGCAAGCACACAACTGCTTTTTGGAGGAAAAGCAGATAAAAGCAAATTTCTCTTGCCTCATAAACACCTTTAGTACTGAGATGAGAACTGTCTGGTGCCATCATTTGTGATTCACCTTCTCATATACCTACCTAGGATAACGAGCAGTCTTAATTAACGCAACATGATGTTGTGCTGACCATTCTAAAAGGCATTATGAAAATACCACTCCGTTATTCGGAAGCACTTGTCCTAAACACTTTTGTGATTTTGATTTCGGCTACAAATCCATACAGTCCACAGCCCTTCAAGTTCCCCTGTATCATTACCTCGTATTAGACAACCCCAATTACAGCGTGGGGTCCCACAGGAGAACTGCAGACACTGTATGAATGAAGGGTGGCTGTGGAAATGCTGAACTGATTTAACATGATAATGACAACAGCATAATGCAAACCAGCCAGGAAAGGAAAACAGAGGAAGGGCTTCATCACGGCTGGAAAAGAAAAGCGAACGCTGTAATTAAGCAGGGACGGCGTTTCTTGCCGTTAAATGTATCCTATTTGCACACAAGGGATTTCGAGCTGTCAAACTGAGAAATACGTCCTGTGTTACACACCGAGATGGTGCCAATGGAGAGCACTGGTGACTGCTGCAAAGACAGCTTGTCATCGGCTCCGCTGAAGGCACGGGGGCTGGAAGGATGCCCGCAGGAGGCGGCGAGACAATCGCGATGGAAGCTTTTGAGGAAAGGGGGCAACTCAGCAGCAGACGACCACCTGGACAGGTCCCTCCAAGCCACGTCTGGGAGGATGACCCCGAAACGTGGCTGTCCAGGCCACCAGGCGATTCTGCAGTGAGCTCGTTACTCTGCGAGCAGCCAACCTCACAGAATCACAGAATCACAGAATTTCTAGGTTGGAAGAGAGCTCAAGATCATCCCCGGCGCTACGCACCGCAGCAGCAGGCTCATGAAGATGGCCCCTTCCCAAAGAGCTTAAACAAATCACAAATCATAAGAAGATACAAAATCCAAACCACTGAAACAAATTAATGTGCTGTTTGTTTGTTTGCTTTATCTTTTTTTTTTTTTCTTTTAAATAGACTTTACTTTAAGGACAGGCTGGAGGAAATATATTTTTAAGGTCTCAGTGCTGAAATACAGCTTGAGGAGTAGAGGGACGAGGGCAGTAAATCTGAAGCATACGGCTCAACACCGGATGAAAGAAAACCTTCCATCATTTATTCTGTTTGCTATTCCTCAACATCACATCTCAAGCCCTGCGTCAGGCAGGGCTCCTGCTTGGAAGCACTGATTTTAGGACCCTGCTTTTTATAAATAATTTCCAATTTTAGTTTCAATCCCAGACAAGAAGTGGCATGAAGGCTCAGTCGCATTTTAAAGGCTGATAATGTCTAATACGTTTTGGTTATCATCTCAACTGCCTCCTCCTGACATTCAGGGATATAAAACAGTTTTCCAGAAGAATCCAGGGAAGTTCTTACATTGGCAACAACGAAAATGAGAAACCGAAATCAAGCCGAAAGATGCACAAAGGATGAAATTCAAATTGCACGAAGAGCTCGGCATCTGATGGCTCTTAACTTTAAACGGCAGTCAAAATTAGAAAACAAAATTACAGAAGTTTGCAGGCCGAGTTTCTACACGACGCACACAACGTCCGCCAGCGAGAGAAATCCGCAGCATCACTGTTGCCATGACTCCCGAGGGAGCCGTACCACAAAGCCCGTACCTATTTTAGCCGTTCATACAGGAGCTGATGCACTCAGGAAAGCCATCCCGTTATTCCAGAACACACAGTGTAAGACACGGGTGCCTGGCTAAAGAGACTGCAGTTCCTAAACTTCAGCAGCAGATTATCCAAAATAACTCCATGCATTATTCCTATAAGACATCGCTGACTGCCCACCAGGGCGAAAAAAATAGCTCCTGTGTGCGGATATTCCAAGTCGGGATATTCTGTTCTGTGACTCTCTATTCCGTGCTGCAAAGTATAAGCCTCACATCGCCCCCTGAGACACAGAGACGAACTGGTGGCCAAGTTCTGGTGGTAGGTAAAGAGAGAAAACCTTTGAACAGTCGATCGCTACCTTAGCAGGAGAATGAGGCAGAGAGAATGAGGCAGAAAGGAGAAGGTAAGCACAGCCCTCGGCCCCAGTAACTTTGTGAAAATTTGGATTATAATATCATCTCCTAGCTCTCTCTGCTGCTGTTCTACCTAGTAAAGAAGCACACACATTCATGTTTTTAGATCTCAACACCTTCCCTTCACCAATTTCTGTTCCTGACCTGCGTTGAAGCAGCGTGTGGATTTCCTGCCATGCCCTCGGGTGCGGCCTAAGGCACTCGCACAGCGGCTGCACTCACCTTAGGGACTCAGCTCGTGTTTTGTTGGCTTTCTGTGGCTCACCAAACAGTTAGAGAGCTATGAGCTGGGAACTGGCTGCAAGGAGGGAGGCCCTGGTAACGCACATGGTGGTCAAGCAGCCCAGAGGCCTGGCGCCGCGCTCACCGGGGCTGCCAGAGGCCGGCTGGGCCCTGCCCGGCACCTCACAGGGCTGGGGCAAGGATTGCCTCGACCAGCATTTGCTAAACAGGCTCGGTCTTTCAGGCCTTCTTCTCTAAGAAATAATAAAAAAATCCAACCGTGGATCTGTGAATTTCTGAGAGGATGACAGCTAGTGAAGGTTGACAAGTCCTGTGCAAATTTAGGCCGGGCCTGCTTACAGATGGGGAGTGTGCCCCCAGTTCATACAGCCGGCTCTGAACTAGGAATCCTTCACCTAATTACACATTTTACCTTACTAATTCCACAATTTTCTTGAATATTTACCTGTGAGATATTCAGGAGGAGCTTTTCTTTGTTTGCACGGATCTCCTACTAGAATACCACCCCCTTAAATCCAGCAGTTAGCAAAGGAAAGTTAAGACTTCTGGCAGATGATGGAAAGCCTAAAGATTTTTATTTTTTAATTTTTCAAAGATGATGCTGTCTTTAGCTTTCCCCTCACTCTGTATCATCATGCACCAAAGAACATCACTTCTGCAGGCACAAGTTCATGCAGAGAACACCACTTTCACCAAAATAGAACTACTTCAGGTTATGCAACACTCATTAAAATTACAAAACCTCTCAAAAACCTGACCAGCATGTTAAGGCGCACTGGAGCTCTATGTTTGTTAAGTTAGTGGCTGCATCATGCAAACTGGCAGCGAGGAACTCCGCAGGAACGGGAACAAACTTTCCTGCCCGATGACGAGGCAGAAAATCGGGGCGCCTCAGCCCGTCTCGGCGACGGCCCTCAGGGCAGCCCCGGTTCTTCATGAGGAAGGCTTGGACTGAGCAGAAGGACAAGGGTTTTATAGTAAGGATGGAGATGATGTGTGAAGGCTCTAATTTTAGAGGTCTAGAATTTCCTTCCGTTCTATGAAATTAGAACAAAATCCTGTGAGAACGCAGGGCTGTCCCCTGGTCAACAGCCCAAGTGAAGAGCCCCGGCTGCTTACCAAGCACCTCCACAGGCTCAGCAGAGAGCCTTACACTTTGTTACAGTTCTGCTACACTTTGCTTTCGTAAAGCTTATTATTCTAGGAGGAAGCATGCTTTACAGACTTCACAGTTTGAGGTATGGCAAGATAAAGTCACTGAGGGACTGCAGGAGGAACAGTGGCTGGTTGCAGTAGCCTCTTGTAGCATTACAGGCCCAACACAGCAGCAGTCGAGAAGATTTCCTACCACAGGAACACCCAAATCCCTGCCCTCCAGCAGCACACAATGCTAGTTAGTGACCGCGATGATTCACTGCTGCGTGTCGGATGAATGCCTCTCTGTCTCTGATGACAAGAAGCGAACGTAACTTAACACCAAAAAGTGCAAGTTTGCTTTAAAAAGCCATGTACCGCATGTATGTAAAATCGCCTCTGAATGAACAGAACAAATAATCGAGTTCTGGAACGTAAACCAAACTGTCAATCCGTCGGAGGTTGGGAATTAGCACTGTGAGACAGGCAAGCAGAACTAACAGCCTTTTAAGATCAGCCAAAAACCCAGTCATGCCACACTCGCTTGTGCCACATAGGATTAACGATTACGTATTCATGCCAACGCACTGACAAACAGCAAGGTCTTGCACGCAAGCTGCCTGGATTACTGCTGCTAGCTCCAACCACAAGCACACACCTTTTTCTTGCCTCTGCCGGCTCATACCAGTGGCTCTCAGCTGCTTTTGTCTCTCCTGGTCTTGAGCAGCAGACCTGGCTGGCAGAGTCGGCACCCCTCTTGACTTTGTGGGTCTCATGTAGCTTTTTAGCTGTCCTGTTGCTTTAACTCTCTCTTTCTTTGCCTCCTTTCCAGCTTTTTGTTCAGACTCCTCTTCATTTGCTTTAATTGCGTCTTTATCTTCCCCAGCCTTTGATACTGGGCCATCCTGCAGGTGAGCAGCATCCTCTTCTGCTGGGTGAGGATGAGCTTCGCTGTTACCTTCAGGACTGACTTGGGTTGTTTGGGCAGCTGCTAGATTTACACCAGCTGCCTCTGCTTCAGCTGCTTTCTTGTCTAAGCTGCCCAGGCACGTCACTGAGCCCTGCTCACTGTTCCTGCCTCCATCCAACCCAACCTCTTCGGCTTTCTTCTCCACCAGTGCTTCCACCACCTGCGATGTGGCTGCATCTGCCTTGCTCTCTGGTATCGCCGTGTCCTTCTCTCCAAGAGAGACGGTTTCTTCTAGTTTCTCTGTCCCTTTGGCACCTAGGGGAGCTGGTGTGTGTTTTGCATCTGCCACCTTCTGAGGAAGGTCAGAGGAAGTGCTGTCAGTGATTTGCTTTGTATCAGTGGTTTTTACTTCTTTATCATCAACCTTTGCCACAGGAGAAAGGCAAACTTCATCCTCTTTAGATTTAATGTCCTCTTTAACTGAAGGATCCAGAGGAAGTGCTTTACCTGCCTCAACACCACCCTGGGAAGCAGTCCCTTCAGCTTTATCATTCTCTTTCTTTGAAACCTCTTTTCCAGGCTCTTCATGTCTCAAATTGTCTGGTTGCTCAGGAGCTTTCAGGTTCTGGACCCCCTCCTGAGCACTAGGTCCAGGCTCTTTGCTGCTCTTCTCTGCTGTCACCTCAGGAGAAGGAAGCTCCTCAGCTCCTGTACCCCTCTCTGAAACATTGCCAGTGTCATCAGGGCCCCTTACTGCAGCCTGAGCAAAGGATTCAGAGTAGTTTCCTTTATTATCCCAAAGCATTTGAGGGCTGATGGGAAAACCTTTAATATTTCTGTTTTCATCTACAAAATCCATTTCTTCCATTCCATATTCCATCTCGGGTCCCATGGGAGGCAGCGCTTCGCTCTTGTTCATTTTCCTCTCTAGAAAAGCAAGCTGCTCAGGGGCATTTTTAGACTTTTTACTTCTTCCATCACTACCTCTCTTTTTAGATCTATCAGTAGCTGTGGCTGACCTGTGATCTGCTGCTGCTGGGTGCTCTAGAATAGGAAGTCCGACCCCAGTGCTACAAGGAGCGGGACTTTCTGCTTCAGATTTGGCAGATGTCTCCTTGTCATGAAGAGGAAACATCTCTGCACCTGCTTTGGGCTCCAGAAGCAACGGCTGCTCCAAGCTAGCCTCCACTTTTTTGCATATCTCTTTGTTATTTGTGCTCAATTTTTCTGGCTCCTGAGGTGCAGCAGGAGCTTGTGCTTTGCTTGTATCAGAGGGGTCATCTAGCGGGCTCACTAAAGCACTGAAATTATTCTCTTTGTCTTTAGCAGGAGACTGAGCTTGTTTAGCATTCCCCACCTCTTTGACTACTGCGGGGATGTTACCTGGACCCGCTGCGGCAGACTGCTCAGACTGCTCAGGACTATTTTCAGCCTTTTTGCCTTTCGTATCTCTACCTTTTTTCTTAGGCTTGTCTGTCACCAGGTCCCTGACGGGACCGCATGCTGCAGCTGCATCTGCCCTGTGCTCTGGCAGAGGCTCGGCTGTTTTAATATCTATTTCCTTACCTTCAGTACCGGGCCAAGTCTCTTTAGTGCTGGCTGTCTCTGGCTCTGCTGTCTCTGTTTTATGACCTGCAAGAACTGGCTGGTTAGAGGAACTTTTCCTATCACCACCCTCTATTTCAGGCTTTTCCAACACCTCTTTGGCTATTCCTGTCAGGTTCTCCAGCAAAACCTCTCTTTCCAAATCAGATGCCTTATCTTTATCAAAGGTCATTTCCTTTGTTTTTCCAGCCACCTTCTCTTTGCTTGGAACATCGGTTGCTTCCACCCTGGTGTCCAGGCCAGCTGACTGCCCAGAAGAACTTTTTTCGCTTTTTTTCCTTTTCCCATCACTACTCCTCTTCCTAGGTTTGTCTGCCACCAACACTGCATCAGAATCTGGCACAACAAATTCACCTGGAGAAGCAATTCCAGCCTCTTTGCCTTTAGCCATCACGTTTACCTCCTTTGTTGGGCTGATCATGTCAGCCTCAGCAAGATGCTTTGTCTCCTCTCTCCTACCCTCCAGAAAGAACGGTTGGTCTAAAGCAACCATAGCAGCCACTTCACTTTTCCCAACACTTTCTTTAGGTCCCTCTGTTGTTAGTTCAACGGGCCTCTGTATTTTATTGAAATCCAATAAATTCTCCTGAAAAGACCCAGCACTACAGCCTCTCTCTCCACCTTTATCACCTACTTCCTCAGTTTTATCAGCTGGGGCAGGAAGACCACCAAGCTCCATCTTACTCTCAAGAAAAGGCTGCTGGAAAAAAACTCTTTCACCTTTTTTACTTTTCCCATCGCTACCTCTTTTTTTGGGCTTCTCTGCTGGTTTTGCAGGGTAGGTATGTGCATTTGCTGATGGGTGTCCTCTTGTAGGAAAATCAGCCTCCCTGCAGCTATCAGAGAAAGTTGCTTCTTTCATGGTCTCATCTGCCTTCACCCCATCAGCAGGTTTGCCTACATCCTCCGAAACAGCTACCTGCTCAGAGGAACTTTTGATTTTTTTGACTTTCCCTTCACCACGCTTTTTTTTCGGTCTGTCCATCCCATGAGCAATACTGAGATCTTTTCCAGTCTGCTGCTCTAACGCAATAAACCCGTCCCCTTTGTTTTTATCAGGGGAATCTGCCACTCTAGCTCCGTCTGCTGCTTCAGCAGTAGCAGGATGTTTGGCTGCAGCAGGCTTAATAACTGCCTCGGGTTTTTGTACAGCTAACGGTGTAACAGGCATTTTAGTAGTATCTGCTGGGGTCTTTGATAATCCCTCTGAAGCGCTTAAGTCGACTGCCATGCACTTATCGGAGGACACTGGCTTGGTTTCTTCAGCTGGCTTGTCAGGATGTTGGTTTGATGAGGCCACAGCCCCTGCAGGAGGCTCTTTGAAGGATTCGTTTTCAACCCCTTTGCCTTTTTCACAACTACCTCCTTTCTTCGCTGCTTCTTCCAGTGACCCACTGGAAGGCTGAAGCTCACGAGGGACAGCGTCCCTGGGTGTTTTATGCTGAGGAGATACGTGCTGAGCTTCCTTATCCTTGTCAGAAAGGAGAGTTTCTGAAGGCTTGACCTCTAAAGGAGTTTCTGCTTTGCTTACACTGATCGCTTCTGAAAGAGACGCCTGCAGGCCAGCACATCCTGCCTCGTCAGACTCCCTCTTTTCATTTTTACCAGGAACATTTCTTTCCATGGGCTTGGTTGGCACCTCTGCTGTAACAGGTTCCCCCGGCTTGGTCTCGCCTCCCTGCTTCAGGGGAACCTGTTTTCTCTTCCCTTTGGAGCTCGACGTCCAGCTGTCATCTCTCACGCCTTCTTTTGGGATGAAGTCTCTATTTTTTGGTGACTCAGATGGCACACTGGTTTTCTGGACCTGCTGTCCTGGTGCTGGCACTGAGAAGGCATTTTCATCAACCAGGTTGGGACTTCCAGTTATTATTTTAGCATCCTTTGGCACATCTGAAGCTCTGATGGGCATTCCGGGGCCAACATCTGGTTTTTGCAACTCACCACCAACTGGAGAATTTTTCGGAGCTCTGGAGACTGCTGAATTTTCATCCCAGAACTCCGTTGCTCTTGGCGGCTGGTTTCTCTTTTGTTTTGGTTTCTTTTTCTTTTTCTTCACAACAGCCAGAGAACCTTCCAAATCCCAGCTCTCCCTGGGTGCATCTCTGCAGCTCTCCACAAGCTCTGGCAGCACACCGGACGGCTGCTCGGTTGCCTTTTTATGTGAAACCCTAGTGCGAGGGGATGCTCCAGCAACAGATCCGGGTTCCGCTACCGAACAGGGGTCTACTCTGGGGTCAGTGCTCTTCTGCTGTGGCAGACCTACGAGCCGTTCCTCTGGCACATCTGCAACAGGCACTGCTGCAGGTTTTGCTCTGCCAAACCTGCGGTCACTTGATTTGTTAGCTTGCCTTATTTGTGCAGTAGGTAGACCTGGAATACAGGAAGCCTGCTCAAACATCAAAGCGACTATTTGCTTTTTTTAAAAAAAATATATTATATATATATATAAATGTGATTTTAGCCATCTAAAACAATCCATACAGTCATATATGCAGAAGTTCCCAGCACCAATACCACACTAATTCTAAATCCACCTCAGCGTGGCTGGGATAGGCATTTACACACAAAACCTATTGCAACTGGTACCAATAAATACGTCAATGCTATTTAAAAATCCATAGCCCCTGACACATGCTCTCACCCCACCAAAAAGCAATAGTTCTGGTAAGGCCATGTTATCTTTTTTTTTTTTTTTAAAGTGCATTAAGGATCCATTTTGTCTCGGCAAGACAAGACAACGCGCACTTTTTCTCTCCCTAATTGGCAACCTTCCCAAGTGCGAAAACAGAGGTTTTAGTGGAAAGATGAGACTGGGGAAGAGAGGAGGGGGGACAACGGGAGGGGGGAGCAGAAGAGCCAGGTTTCCCACAGCACCCAGAGTGGAAGCAGTGGAAGGCAGAACCTCCGTCGCAGAAGTCGTTTGCTGTCCCCGGTTACAGGCAGGGTTTCCTTAGCTACAAGCCACCGATTTTAAAGAGAGCGTCAGTCAGTTGTCAGTTAGCCCTGGCCCACAAATCAGCCTCCAGTCACAAATGTAAGCAATAACAGCTCGTCGGAGAGGCTGGATTAGTGGAGCAGGGAAAAAAAAAAAAAAAAAAGATCCCATTTTCCTTTGGTAATTACAAAATCCAATTTGGAAGGAGGCCTTCCCTGGGAATATTGCAATAAGAATTAATGGTCCTTTTTAATACCAGGATAAAAGGAAATAAAACAGCAGTGGTAATGGCAGAAAGATGGTGAGCTGTTATATTCTAAAGCAGAAAAGATATAAGCTAGTACCAGTGATAAAGTAACAGTAGCAAGCATATTTAGGCTTTTAGTCCTGTGAACAGGAAGGAGAAAAGATTATTTTAGAGCGCAGGGATTAGAGGCGAAGTGCAAGCAGAATCACCGATGAATGCAAAGAACTGCACAGCTGATTGGTGCAAAAACAAATTTTGCTTGCTCAGGTGGCACAGAAGTCAATAGGAAAAGGTGAACAGTTCCCAGAGGACATTTCCATTCTAAAATTGAATTATTATTTCTATTCTACCTGTAGGTTCTTGTAGAGCTTTTTCTTGCTGGGGTTGTGCATGCTCGATATGGTTGTGCTCAGCCTGCTCCTTTGGTTTCTCTGTAACAGTAACATCCACAGTAACAGGTTTTTCTGGAAGGAGGTCTTTGTTTTCTAGTGCAACAACTTCTTTTGCTTCTACTGGAACTGAAATACAAAAGTGGAAAGAAATTGAAACGAAATACAAAAAAATATGAATAGAAGACTTCAGCTCTTATGAATACAAGTAACCAGCAGTTTAAAAGCAAGCCTTTGGAGAGGGTACAGGTTCTATCTTCTTTTTAATAGGGATGAAGTTTATAAGATTTGATTGTCTACTATGTATTACCTCCTCTCAATCCCATTTTAAGAAGCAATTTTATATTTTGATTGACATGCAGAAGTATAGGTAAAGCATGAAGCTAAGACCATCATGGTGCTTACGGACACAGTGAGGTTGTCAATTAAAAAAAAATCAAACCAGTGCTAAAATATGCTCTATTATCAGTCTGCAGTCCCTATCTAATGCTAATCGTATAGTATTCATACATATTTTAGGATACATTCATATAGACACTACTAAATCTCTAGCTACACAGCTATAACAAGTTTTAATGTATAAAACAATGACTTTGGAGAACGGTTGTATTTTTAAAATATGAATAAGATTGATTACATAAAAACAAAGATTGTGAGAGATGTAAAACAAATATGGATGAGGAAGAAAAAGACAAGTTACATGCTGGTCATTTCCAAAGTGAAGGCTACCACCTGGTTCTAACACAGTCCCCACGTTTGTACATGTTTATAACCTTCCTGAGATTAAATCTTTGTTGCTTTGTCCTTCACAAGGATAGGAGAACGGTGTCTGGGAGAAAGAATCTGGGTGCTTGGGAAGAACCAGCTGAGAGCAAAGTGCTTGCTCCAGCTGTATGCTGTGGTTTGCATTTCTCACCTGCTGGTTCAGGCAGATGGTTTGTCTGTTCTGGAAGACGATCTTCATGGTGGCTGGGAGATGGAATACTGTCTTTGGCTTTCTCTAACGGAAGATCAACACAAGCCTCTGGGCCTTTCAGTTCTTGTTGCACGCTTGCAGGTGCTTCTGAAAACAAAATGTAGAGAATAAAATTTCTTTTTTTTTTTAATTTAGATGAGATTAAGCAGGATAAAATTACGTCCTCGCCTAATTCCCATTTTCCTCAGGAAACTAGAGGTTTTCATCACTTTCAGAACAGTGATAACCTGCTTTTTGGGATCACTTTCTAACAGCTCTCCCCTCCTGAAAGCTTAAGTGCTCTTCTAAAGCAAATCTTCCTGTATTGGCTGGTATTTAGTCTTTCATTCCCCCACCTATGCCTCTCAGCTACTACATTCTAAAAAGGTTTTTCTTTTGCTAAAACTTCTCTCCTTCGAAATGTATTCTTATCATTAAACCAAAGAATATTAGAAGGTAAAAAAAATGAAAAAGGAAATTTCTTACTACGCAGAACTCTTTCCACAGTCAATCAATATACGCTGGGTCTGCCCAGTGCTGTTTGCTATAGTGACTGTCATGTCTCTCAGAAAGGATAGTGTCCTTTGAGAAATCCACGCAGCACAAAAAATCCATTGTCCACCACATGGAAAAAGCAAAATGCTTGCTGCCCTGAATCGATGCCTATTGTCATTGCAAGGAAATGTCACCACATCACCAACAAAGCCTGTCAGTCTCCTCAGTCTCCTCAGAAACTATTTTTCCAGATAAGAAGCTTTGTTCGAAAACGCTGTCCTGCAGCATCTGTGGAAATTTCTGTATATGATAATGATGCAAAAATAAATACTAACACGGATGAACTAGAAAAAAATAAAAATAAAAATAAAAATAAAAATAAAAATAAAAATAAAAATAAAAATAAAAATAAAAATAAAAGACACAAACACACGGCTCTGTAAAGAATGCCAAGTCCTTAAAAAATCATTTAGTTATTCTAGTTTCGTATTTTCTAGGTGAAAAATCCTTGTGAAGTTCTTCCTCTGTCTGTATCTTTCTTGTCAGCGGAGCTGTGCTCTACTTAAGATTCTGATGTGCCTTGCATTTAAACATCTTAACTGCTCAAAAACTATGTTTTTTATGTGGCAGTCTTACTAGAATTGTACATCTCTGTAGTAGTCACTATCCACTACCAGGCTTGTTGCTGCTAGTGCTGTGCTACCTTCGAGTGGCCTTTGCACACCACTTGCCAAGTTATTTCTGGCCTGAACAAAGCTTTCAGCTAAGCTCACCTGCAGGAGGCTCATGGAAGGGTGACTTGCCATGCTCAGCAGGAGATTCGGATGTTATCAGCTCTTCAGATGCAGCAAGCTTGGTGTCAGCTGCAGGGACAGCCTTAGCTTCTGATGCAGAGACAAAACCTGAATCCACAGCAGGGAAAGGCTTGGCTTCTGCGACAGGAGCAAACCCAGAATCCACGGCGTGGAGGTGGTTAGCTTCTGCTGGAGGGGCAAACTCCAAATCCAGGGCATGCTGAGACTCAGTGTCTGCTACTGGGCTAAATGCCAAATCCATAGCATGGTGAGACTTCGTGTCTGCTGCTGGGGCAAACCCTGCGTCTGCTGCCGGAGCAAACTCCAAATCCATGGCGTGATGGGACTTAGAATCTGCTTCTGGGTTCAAGCCAGTATCCACCACTGGGGCGAACATGGCATCGATACCATTAGGAGGTTTGGCTTCTGGGGCAGGAGCAAAGCCCACATCCAGAGCCTGAGGAGGCTCTGCTTCTGCTGCAGGTGCAAATCCAGCATCCGCAGCCTGCGGAGGCTTGGTGTCTCCTGCAAGGATGGACCCAGCTTTCTCGGCAGAAATGGACGTGACATCTGAGGCAGGAACACACTGTGCATCTGCTACGGAAAAACAGATTGCAGAAATCAACAAAAAATAACGAATGTGAAAACCCAACAGTGCAAATTATGGCTAGGGAATGGCTTCCCCTTGCCCTCTTGTGCCTTTCAGCAGCAATCACTCCCCCGTCCACTCCGCTCAGGTTGCACTGCTCTTGCTGACAGATTCCCCAGTGCACCCAAGCCATGTTTTGTATCCTTGGCTACAGTGCCAGACATCCGCCTGCTCCTAGCCTACAGCAGCCAAAAGATGCTTTGTTATTGTTTAAAATCTGACGCTGCAGAGCTGGCAAGAGACCCGAGCGGGTAGATCCACTGCAAGCAACACATTCCAACGGAACAGACACCAGAATCCTAACGAGGTTTTTGCACTGTACAGGAGGAGACAGAAACTTTTGGTGCCACCTTTCTGAGCACGGCAGCGTATTCCAACAACTGGAAAAGTCCTGAAACGTTCCAGAGCCACATTTCAAATCTTGTTTACACTGTTCGTGGGCAGGACAGTACCGCAACTCGAGCAGAAGCAAAAGCACTGATACAGAAGGCTCTGCCACCCAGTGAAGCGCCAGCTGCCCCTTATTCTTTCAAACTTGGCCTCACTCACATTTGACATAATAGCTACTAAAAACTCAGCTCTTCGTTTCAAAATAACATTCAAGTTTCAGCTGTCTACAGGCAAATTTTGCAAATTATCCAAAGCCAGAAGCACTGGCTCTTAGGTTTCTTCTGCAGCTATTACTTTCAACAGCCCCCGGTACTGTCTGTACACTGTGCAGTGCAGCACGGTGACCTCAACAGCTTAGATACACAGCTGAGTAGATGTTAAAAAATAAAAATTCTCCTCAATGTTTGAACTGCACCTAAAAACATCCCCCTGCCAAACACTGGGAAATATGTTTAAAAGATACGTAATAAACTGAAAAATGAAAGAAATTGCGAAAATGGTAAAAGTCCCTTTCAAAACTGTGCTGCAGGATGTATTTAGATAGAACCAATGCTCCACCAAAACAAAACCAAGTGGTTTTTGTTTGTTTTAAGGATTTTGATTTTACAGAAGGATGAGATGTTGAAGAAATAATTAGGTACTGTGAATCTCCTGCTGTCTATAAATAAGGTAAAAATTCTGTTTTAAAGCCATTTTTTGTCTTCTTAAAACAGAGAGCTTTAAGGTGTTTATAGACAGCAGGAGACCCATGGCGTAACCACGTTCTTGACACACCCTAACACTGTCAGGAGGTGAAACTTGGAGAAATTTTGATTCTTTACGAATCATTATGTCTGTTACTGGGCTGTGACAGAAGAGTTGAAAAGTCTAGCAGATTGCTCTTTCTCACCAACTCAACCTATTTAAACCTTTAGTTCTGATGCAGATTAATACTTTGCTGTTTTATCTTTCCACTACTACAGCTTGCTCATGACAGGTCGAAAACCAGCACCAGTCATGAGGCAAGGGCAGCTTTACCTGATGTGTCACCTTTTGATGCATCAGTAGCTTCAGCCCCTTCTGGGGATGCTGTTATTGCAGTAGGAACAAAATCAGGAGTCACTGCTGCCGGGCTTTCTGGCAAATTTGGCTTTTTTGCTTCAGTCACTGTGGGGGGCACTGGGCACAGAAAATGAAGTTTGATTAAGCACTCGGAAAGATCTCAGCAAACAGCTTTATCTCCTGGACTTGCCAGGATTTGAATCACCCTCTCAAGGCGCTGCCTGCTCCGTGCTGCCTGCAGTCTGATGAGTGAGCTCCCCCACTGCAGCAACGCAGTCGGGTAGGACAGGACCAGAGCCTGTTTGCAGGGTCCATTTCAGAAAAATGACTTGTGCAATGCCTAAGAAAACACTTTGTGTCCTTAGGGAAGCAATTGCTGTAAGAAACTCGAGGAATGTTCAGCTACAAAGCATCCCTGCTCTACCTTGAATCCTAGGTGGAGCCCTGAGCTCTAAACACCCCATCTACCCATGACTGGTGTTAAACTGCTCTCTTCTTGGCTCGTTCACCAAAATCAGCGATAAAGATCCCATTGCAGGTGAAATATCGTAATATACATGCAGCTGCAGTGCAAATGTGTCCTCCTCAGTGGAGCTTCAATGCTTTAACTGTAACATCTAGTCTAAAGAGAATTGGGCAGAGTATACAGGTTTGCAATTGGAATTTAATTTAAAATTCTGTTGATTATCCATGAGCCAAAATTATGTTTGTTGGTTCCCTCAGCTGCACTGGTCCTTGGAAGGAGTAAACATGAGCACTCTGACAGATTATTCAAGTCAGCAGATTTGACTCGAGTGTGTTCACAGACTAGGGCTCTTGAAAGTAGTAAAGTTCCAGTTTTACAGACTTTCTTTTCTAGAGTAAATTTTATTTATCCTATTTATTATTTTAGGGTCAAGTAATGCTTGAACAGATACCCCAACTGGAATCCACGGTACCCTCACTGGTCCACGAGAAGCACAGAACAGAGATGTAGTCTGGAATCCACCAAGCTTGCTGCTACCAGGGTTATTTTGTGCATATCTGCAACTTGAAGTCCCCATAGCCCACAGAAGGGCATGCTTAACCCCATGCTTTCAGAGGGTTAAAGTCCAGCTATATGCCCCAAAAGAGCACACCACTAGTTTATACCAAGAGTTGGGCTTGGAACTGTATAAATTTGTATAAACAGTCTGCCTAATGCAGGGTTCTCCCCATCCCTGACAACACTAAACCTGAAATGTGTGTTAAGCAACATTTAAACCGCGCTTTTTTATTCTAAGTTGATTTGAGAACCAGAAATGCTCTTGGCCAGGTCCCACTTCACTCCGATACTGCTTTTTCTTTCTTGAAAAGGCAGACGGGGACACAAGTTCTGTTTCTGCTGCTCATAGACTCTAGGAATGAGAGGAACTACATAGTTCCTGCAGACTAAGTCGAAACTATTTTTACCTGATGGCTCAACAAAGAAAGAGGCATCTGGTCCCTTCACATCATGCTGAGCTCCCATCCAATGTTCTTCAGGCACTACAGAAAAACACATTTAGTCCTGTCACTAACAGAGAATCACAGGGGTTGGAAAAGCCCTCTAAGATCATCTGGTCCACCCCCTACCACCAATGTCACCACCAAACCCTGTCCCCAAGCACCACGTCCAACCTCTCCTTGAACACCCCCAGGGACGGTGACTCCACCACCTCCCTGGGCAACCCGTCCCAATGCCTGGCTGCTCTTTCTGAGCAGAAATGTCTCCTTCTTTGCTCAGGGTATTGACTCTGCTGCTGTTTTGACTGCACTCTCAGGTAACTTAGTTCATTTTATGAATGCTATTTGATTATAACTAGTCCAAGCTTGCATCAGCCAGAGAAGAGTTACCCCAGAACCCAACAGAGCAGGTTCTTTGCTCAGTGGCACATTCATCCCCTAGTACCTTTAGAGCATTCCCATTGATCAGGGAAATGTTGTTTCCAAAAGGATATTTTCTAATCTCAACTCATTTTATGCATTAACTCCCCCACCAAGATTCTTTAGGACTAATAGATCGAGATTTTCCAGCTGCATATCCTTCAAAGCCACCTACAGCGAGACAGACAGCAAGAGCAGAACATCTGTTTCTTACCTGCGTTGTCTTGCAGAAATTCTGCAGCTGAATCCAGGCCCACAAAGGCTGACGGGTCAAGAACCTCTGCAGGACAATAGGGGGATCCCAGGAAAGGTTGTTCAGGTACCATCATGGATCCATGTGGTGCTAATGAAATAAAAGGCCGTTTTTCAGTCATTTGTCGTTTTAGACAAAGTTTATACGCAACTTTCTCAAGTAGTTCCCCTTTACAAGTCGCATTGTGAACTGTACATCTCTTTTTTTCCGACAAGGTACAAGAGAGTAAATACAAATTATTTTTTTCTTTCTTCTCTCCTTTTGCTTTCTGCTTCTGCTCCCATATATATGCTCGTTAATAACCACTTAAGCTGCAATAGCCTGAACACCAAAGACCATTTTGTGGACAAAGTTCCTGCAGCTTTGGTTTTCAGCCATGAAGACAAGAGCTGTGAGTAACTCCAGCCCCAACTCAATTTGTCGAGATGCTCCATCTCCTTCTGCCTAAATATGCTTAAAAAGTAACAAACCAACAAAAAAAAAACACACAAAAAAAAAACACACAAAAAAAAAACCCTCTTGGAAGCAGCTACCAGAAAGTCTTTTAGGCAAAAAAAAACGTAATCATGTGAAGAGATTGTATGGTCTGTGCACTTATCAGCTTAATAGTTTTTAGTATGTGAAGGTCAATGGAGAAGACACCAAAAAAGACCATCAGGGACAGATGTGGAGGAGGAACTCACCATGGATGTCTGTGGAAGTGTCAACATGGTCCGTGAAGAGCTGCACGTTCTTCATGTCAGCAGGAAAGGCCAAATCAGGCAGGTTCTCCCCTCGGTGCATGCTGAAGGGGTCTGAGGGGACACAAAACGAGGCCAGCGTTACTGCACAAAGATACGATGTGGCATAGGGTTATTTAAAAACAGTGCTGGGATGATCCCAACACCAGCACCGCTGTGATGCAGCAGCAGAGTGAAGGACTTCCAAGGGAGAGCTGCTTTCAGGACTATTTATCGAGGACAAACGCCTCCCTAATTAGACTTTACGCCCAACAGCAAAACACGGTTGTGCAGACTGCACGGTAGGGAAAATCGCCTGAAATGCAGGTGCTAAGATTTGGACAAAGAACCTGTCTCCTCCTGTGGTTTGTAAGATGGATTCCTGACCCAAAACCTGTCCCTTAGAGAGCAGAGAGCCTCGCTCACAAGAAGATGAAGGGAAGATGACCCCACTGTGCCTTACTCCAGCTGAGAGCAAGGCGAAGGGAAGGAGCCGTGGCGCTCCCATCACAGACGAACTGTCCCGAGGTTTACAGCCCCCGGGGGGGTTTTGCGACATCTTGCCAGCCTGGACCAGCCACCCCATCCATCTCCAGGGGGGCACAGCCCCACGACAGGAGGCTTCGATGGGAGGCGTCAATCCCTGCCTTGGCCTTTCCTCCTGGCTTCCCGGGAAGGTGGGGACGGACTCCACGCTCCCGAAGCGGCTGTCACACGCCGACGGGCAGACACCACGCGGATTTCTTCAGGTTAAGCACAATGAGAAGGGATTCAGCTGAAGGCTTCTCGTTGTCTCTCGCCAGACGTGCTATTTCAGGGGATGACAGCAAAGCCGCGAGTGTTCATTGTGCTCCCAAATGTCAGCGCTGGGTGAGCACCACGAATTCTTTCAGAAATCTCGCAGCCTGTTTGAGATCCCCAGACAATGTCTCGCTTCAGAGGAAATTTTAGAAAATGTTAATTTCAAGCTGTTTACAACAGCACCACCAAGACTAAATCACTGCCTTTTTCCAGTCCAACAAAACCCAAGAAGCATTCCAACCCAAACCAACTGAGAGGCTCAAAGGGGTCCTGAGGATTTCCCTCGGTGCCAGCAGCTGCTGGATGTGGCACAAGGGGGCTGCCCGGGTTCTGCTCTGCGGGGTCCAGGGAGCGTGGAGGGGCTTTTCTTGTCCTCTTCAGATCCCCATGGGGGCCTGAGCCCCCTCTAAAGCAGGTGAGCGGGGCCCTTCTGCCCCCAGCACTGCAAGCCGAGGGGCACGGAAAGGTGAACGGCACGGGTGGGACCCAGCCAGCGCAGTAAGGAATCAGTCCTTGGGTCCGAAATAATTCTCTACCTGCCCCAAACTTGCTGCTTGTTTGTCATATTATGAAGCCAGACGAATGTTAAGGATTTGAGAAGTTTTTTTCCAGGCAGCTGGAGGTAAGATTGACAAAACACTTCGGAAAAGTTCTCAGCTCACATCCACGGCCACTCGCAGCCGCTGCTGCTCAGAGACACAGCTCGAGTTCGCTGCTGATCCTGGACTAACAAAAGCACGTTACTTTAGATCGATCAGAGGTGTAGCTCTTCATGTGCAGTGATTTACCTGTAGCTACAGTAATGAATCACGGGACGCTCCTGATGGAGAGCCTGACAGCATTTTAAGGCTCACAAGCAACGAGGCAGTGCTTGAGTTTTATTCACTCTGTGCTATAACAACAGTTTTAAACAAGTCTTTTTATTACAAATAGTGTGAGATATATATATACAGATATATATTTATATATTTATATATATATGTAAGATTTTGCTGATAACCATTGGTTTCACAGGGCTGAGCCCCAGCACCAGACCCTAACTCGGTGTTTGCAATAAGGAGCAGAGGAGCAGGCTCAAACGCACATTTTTTAAGCTGCACGGAAGCAGCAGAGGATTGCAGAAGTCAAACTGAGCTTCTCGCCATGTTTCTTACCACGGAATGAGGAATTACAGCAATGCTGGTTGGGAGACCTGTTACACAAGTGGCCAGAGAATTCTTGCCTCTGGAGGGAAATTATCCTACAAAGAGCCTGACTGAAAATATGCAATAAACCCATACACTTTTATGAGACTGCTGTTCACTACTTCCCCTCCTGCTGGCATTCTTAAAGCTCGCCTGCTCTGTCACTTCTCAGATGTAGGAATTTATCCAGCTTTAAGCTGCCTCTTGCTTACTCAGCACCAGGAAGGGCAGTCCCGAGGAATGCCTTGGTCCTGCGGTCTGCAAAGTAACTTCAGCATGTGCAGGTGCAGGAGATACTCTAAGAACATGAAACCTAAGGACGTGGTTTCCTGCAACAGATCACCCACAGACCTGCTTCATTTTGGCAAAGAGAAGATGGGAGGATGGGCTACGTATTTAAATTGCCCTAATCAGCTACTTTATCATCTGGCTATTGAGTGTAACTACAGCACCACCCCATTCTCCACCTAACAAAGCAGTGGGGCGGGGGCAGAAGCTGTTTCAGAAACCAGTGGTTCTTTCGTTCCAGCTGCTCCGTGAATCATTTCTCACCATTGTAACAGCTCGTAATTATCTCACAGAACCTCTTAGCAAATACAAGATTCAGATAGCAAGAAAATAATTTCCTAAGCAGGTCTGCGGTGTTCAAAACCATCACAAAAAAGTTAGGTTTCATCCCGTTTCAGCCAGTCTCCTTCCCGAGCTGATAGCCTGTTGCAATCTGGGAAGCCTGGTTTTTTGTTCCCTCAAAAACTAGCAATTGATTTCACATATTTTTTTATCAAAAATGAGAGAAAAAGGGGTGAAAGATATCTTTCTGCAGGGGCAGCAGTTGGAGGAGTAACAGGGGCATACCTGCCATCTCCATGGGTTTGAACACGGGCTGCGATTCGAAGCACAGGTCCCTCTCATCCATCGCCCAGGTGTCATTGCGATCGAGAAATTCTTTGTAGGATAGCTTTTCATCCATGATTTCTCCTGGGAACACTGAAATTAGGGAAGAAAATGGCAGAGTCAAAAAAAAACAACAATAACCCAAACCTTTTAGAGTTTATTACCCCATGATGACATTCAAAGGCCAAGAGATGACATGAACGATTAGCCGAAGCAGAATTCGTGATTATTTTATTTTCCACTGCTTTGATGCAAATGTTTAAATATGATACAGAACAACGGGACTTTCTGCATTTTATTACACACCAGGTCAAGCTGATCAATATGCCCAAGGACAGAGAACTGGCACACCACGGCGCTGCCTTTTTTCCAGTGTTGGACTTTCGCATCAGCTGCTCGCACTCATCTTTAGGGAGAATTTTCACAAGAAGAGGAACAACCCCAAGGAGCTGCCCGAAGCTGTCACGCCTGTGATGCAGGAGTCCTGAGCACAACTCACCGGTCACACCGGGGAGGAGGGGAGGTCACGGTCCCTTCTCTCCCACACAGGCATCGTGTTTGATGCTCTGCCTTTGGCTGTATTAATAAAAGTGTTCGCATCACACGCAGGCAGCACCCATCCAGATTTTTTGCTCTGTATTCCACTAGGAGGGCAAACTCCAGATCATTTAAGGGAATAACCCTTCCCTGAGTGCCTGGAGGGCCTTTATCTGTGTATCTTCATCTCGCACTTAAGCCCAATCCCCCCTGGTTCACAGCCCCGAAGCACACAGCACATCAAAGCCCAGCAGCTTCCACCTTCCCAAGGGAAATATTCGTCCTCCTTTGCTGCCCACGTTAGGAAAACCCATGCTGGGATGCCAGCCCTCGTGGCCTGGCACCGGCCGTGTGCGTGCCAGGGGCTCTGGGCCCTAGGGCCAGGCTTTTAGGGTCGCTCCATCCCACAGATGGCCCCATAAAGATGCATGGAAATGAAGAAGAAATTAGACTACAGGAGGTAAAATTGTTTAAATTGGGCTGTTCTGAGGAATATTGGGGATACACCATCATCTTTTTCCGATGTCCTTATGACAAGTTGGGAAACATGTAGGAATCAGAGCAAGGAGGCACAGCTGCGAGCTGAGAGCCTCTGCTGCCCTCCTCCTCCTCTTCCTCCTCCTCCTCTTCTTTCTCCTCCTCTTCCTCGGTGCTGGGCCTTCACGGACACATCTGCGTCACCCCAGCCACACTTCTGCCAGCGCCGTGCCTGGGGATGAAGTCGTGGACAGGCTGAGCACTGGGGGTGACTCCAGATACCAGGGAACCGGGCGCACACCTCCACTGATCCTGTCCTAGCTTCACCTTCAAATCGCTCCAACAGAGCAGTGAGGCAGGGGCAGCGAGTGGTAGTGGCCAGGACGAGGGAATTTATGTTTCAGTTTAATTTATGTTTCAGATTTATCAGTGTTTACAGCACGCAAAAGCTCGCCGTGCATGAGCCAGCACCTGCAAGGTCTGAGCTACACTTCAGGTTAGAAGTGTTTGCCAAACCAGCCACTGCTGAGGAAAGTGCAGTTGTTTCAGCTGCTGTTCAAAACATTTCCAGATCTGGTGGTTTTGGTTCTTGTGCAAGACCACAAGTCCTGAAGTTCTCGAGTATGATAAATGCGGGGGGAAGGCTCCAAGCAGGCTCCCAGACTCCTGATTCTTCAGATCAGTCCTCGGGTTCAGGAGACCTGAATTTATCAGGTCAACATCACCAAACTTCCAAAGCAATTTCCAGCTTCCTCTGGATAGGAATTAAATCAAAACATACACAAACTCCTCCCCTCATCACCTAATGCAATATTCTACACCCTCTTGCCAGTACAGCTCTGTGTGCTTTCAGTGCTTCTCCCTGCGCTCGCAAGGCTGCAGCTCAGGAGAGGACACTGCTTACATGCAGAGGAAGAGATCCCTCCAAAAGCCCCCTAATTCAGTGCAAAACTGCAGTTAATAAAAGCAAAAACAATGTTAGCATGGGGAAGTAACAGAATAGAGGAAATAATAAAGATATACAATATACAACACAAGATATAGCTTGTGTGGGACAATTCCTGCTGTGGGGCACCAGGCGTGGCAGGCACGGTGCTGGAATGGCACGGAATTATCTCGTCACCTTTACAGAGCTCTGAAGGCTGGGGAATGGGAATTCAGGCTCTCATATCTAAGGACGTGGCCTTTTACCACCTCGTTTCTGTGTAAACACCACCGAAAAAAAAAGCAGGAAGAATTGTTTCTGAACAGATCCAATTTCTGACCGTCAGGGGAGTTATTCCTACCTCCTGCAGATGCTACGGGCTTCCTAAAGCCCAGCTGATTTGGCAAGCGCTCGCTGCTTGTCTGCCAGTGCCTTTTGGCTGTGCTGCTGCTGCCCGGCCACGTTTGGCACGGCTGGCTCGAGCGGCGAGGGCAGAGCAAATCCCCAGCCAGCTTTGGATGGCACAGGATGGCACAGGAGGTACAGGATGGCACAGGATGGCACAGGATGGCACAGGATGGCACAGGAGGCACAGGATGGCACAGGATGGCACGGGATGGCACAGGAGGCACAGGATGGCGATGCCAGGCATGCAGAGGAAATCATGTATAACAACAGACAACAATCACTGAATTCACAAAGTGTTTGGAAGAGAAAGCGTCCCTGCACGTGTCAGGAGGCACCATTATTTATAAGGGTGTGGGATACGATAGCAAGGGGGTTAATTGCATTCTGCTGGACATTGCTCAGGACAGGAGCTGTCGTTCCTTTCTCTTACAAAACCAACAAAAAGCAGAAAAACGGCGTGAGGAAGGGACCTGGGAGCCCAACAGCAATTTGACATCGATTTTCTCTAAGAGGACTGTATCAGAATTTTCAGACTGGGACCTGCTAAGTCTGCAGCAACCAGGCACAGCAACAACCCCTCGCTGCTCCTTGTCACTGCGGGTTTTGGCACCACTCGCCGTGCAGCTAAAAGCAGACACGTCCATCTGATCCATCCCCACCCCGTCCCCATCCCCAGCTCCTCCTCGTTCGTGCCCGCCTGGCCGAACACGAGAAAGGCGATCGCAGAAACAGGGGCCCAAGGGCTGCAGAAAAGAGGATTTCCAGTTCCACACCCAGCAGACCTTCCTAAAAACCACAGCGTGCACGTGAGCTTCAGGTAAGAGCCCAAACAAACACAGCCAACCAGCCCAACTCTTCCAAGGACCACTCCCGAGGTGCTAGGAGCACCCACTGGCAGCAGAAAATGTACAAAATGCTAAATGTGAACGTGACAGATCCCCCAAGCTGTAATTTCTTGGGTATTAAAGCTTTGCTCGTAGCTGAAAACCCAGGTACAACCACGCAGAAACCAACGCAGGAGCACAGCTCGCAAAGCCTCATTTCAAGAAGATTCACCCTTACGGAGTACTTACAGAGCGAGCTGGCCTCTGAGAGTAAGAATAAGGAGCCCATGCACGTGGCGCTCTCCCTGCACTGATCCCACTGCTGGTCCTGGAGAAGGAGTCGGAGCGTTCAGCAAAGCTGCTGCCGGTGTCACTTCGTTGGTCTCGGCACCTGCTAACACCACCCGGCCACACAAGCCAGCCCCGAGGCTGATCCGTACAGAACCGCGCTCCTGCGTGTCCAAGGGCTGCCAGGAATCACCCAGCCAAACCTGCAGCAAGGAGCTCTCTTTTATAGGGGATTACCACCCCAAAGCCTTTTTGCCGGAGGAGCCTGCTAATCTCGGCAGGTCACCCAGCAGCTCCCTGGCTGGAGGTTAAGGAGCTGCCAAGTTAATGAGGCTGCGGCCACGGGATGCCCCTGCCAGCGCCACGCCAAGCAAACAGGGCAAGAGGAGCTTAAGAGCTTCGTTCCTATAGCTGATTCCCAAAGCTAATTTGCCCAGCTCGCCGCGCTGGTTCAGCATCCTACACAGACGCCAAGCTTGCTGAAATCAACTGCTACGACCCAGAGCAATCCTGGTGCTGGCACAATAACCCCAATAACCCACGCACCACGGGACGCTCCTGGCGATCACAAAACACACGAAAAGGCTGCGGGGTCTGACAGGTGCTGCTGGAAGGGTTTTGGGAACAAGCAGGAAGCCCAGAGTTCTGAGGTCACCCCCTTCCCTTGCTGGTGCCACTAATGCATTATTTAGGGTAAAGGCACCAAAATCCCGGCCCTAAAGGGAATGCAGCAATGGGCAGCACCTTGCGGGGACAGCTCCTCAATATTTCATCAGCGTTTTCGTTATTCTGTAAAGCAAAATATCGCCTTGCCACCAAGCTGGCTACTTTCTGCCCACTGCTTTTCCTCTTGCCAAGGTGACACACGGGTGGCTCCACTAAATTTTTAGTTTTTAATCAGACTGTGAGGCAAGCCGAAGAGCAGAGAGGCTGCCCGGAGAGGCTGGGGAGTCTCCATCCCTGGAGATGGCTCAAAATCCATCAGGACGGAGCCCCGAGCAACCTCCCCTGGCCTCCCTGTTCGAGCAGTGGGATTAGATATCAGATGGCAGAGGTCCCTCCCAGGCTCATAAGTCATGCACGCTGTTCAGATGTTGCTTTTGGAGTGAAAAAATTCTGTCCTTGCAAAAAAGATAAAGGCTGACCTACCAGGAGCTAACACTAAAACCAAATCTAGCTGATTTCGCTCTAAAACTGACTTTGTTGCAGCGAGAAGTAAATGAAAATCCACCACCAGGCTGGACGGGGAAAGATCAGGAGATGATAAAAGGTCCACCAGAAACTGCAGGGCATTTCAGACGGTGCCGACAATTCAAGAAACATTTTATTGCTTTCCTTCGGAAATTTCCTGCTGTTGTATAACCCGGAATGCCAAAAACGCTCAGTGCGTGACTGCCAGAGCCGGCACCTCCCGGCTTAAAAGATGCAAAGTCAGTAACTTGGACGTTCAGCGCAAGTTTTTCACTGAACCTTTTTTAAAAAAAAAGAATCTGAAAGAAGGGAAAAAAAAAAAAGAGAGAAGCATTTGTTGCAGCTCATTGTGGAGCTTCGTTCCTTCCTCCTCCTCGGAGAGAGGCTCCTCCAGCAGCGCCCGCACGACGACGCACACCTCCCACCCTCGGCTCTAATTGCTC